ATTTCACATGTGAAATTTGAAAATTTTGATGCATAAAAGTATTTTCAATCTTAAAATGAATATTACTTTGCATGTTAGATAGGCAACATGTGAAAAGAAAAAAAGGCACGAGAAAAACATTGCTTTACAAACCTTAAGACTTAATTAAAAACTTCATATTTTGCATATGAAAGCATTCTAATGTTTACTGATAATGTGCCAAATTTCATTAACATTTGCTTACTAATTTAAAAGTTATTGCATGAAAACTATAACAAGCACAAAATAGTTATGAGGTCAATCCCACAAACCGAGCCCGTGCTGAAAGAGTTAATAAATTTGTGTTTGAACCCAGTCTGACCTCAATTTTAACTTCTCATGAGAAGAAATTCAAATTTCAAAGGATGGTGTATGTGTTTTTTAAACATTTTATAGTTACAAATTTTAAACAAGGTAATTCAGAGTTTTAGAAACATTTTATTAAGTGATACAATGGAGATCATCTTACCTGTAACAATTTGCAAGAAGAGCGAAAAAGATAAAAACTCCTCCAACAACAGAAACCATAACTATCACCAATGAAGAAGCACTGAGAGAATCATTCTTCTTCACTAGAGAAGTAAATAAACATAAATATATGCTTACTTTCTACATTACTGTTTAAAATAAGATGAAACTATTATCAACTTGTTCATTTTTTCACAATCAGATATCATTGTGCTAGTATTTTCAAGAATAAGTGTTTTCTACTATGATATTAGAGATGAACAAAGTTAGTAACATAGACAACAAACGTGACTAATATAAGTAACAATGTACTCTATGATGTAACAGAGGTGACTAACACAGGTAACAGTGTTCCCTATGATGTAACTAATATAAGAACAGTGTGTCCTATGATGTAACAGAAGTGACTAACATAAGTAACAGTGTGCCCTATGATGTAACAGAGGTGACTAACATAAGTGTGCTCTATGATGCCAAAAGATGTAACTAATATAAGTAACAGTGTGTCCTATGATGTAACAGAAGTGACTAACATAAGTGTGCTCTATGATGTAACAGAGGTGACTAACATAAGTGTGCTCTATGATGCCAAAAGATGTAACTAATATAAGTAACAGTGTGCTCTATGATGCCAAAAGATGTAACTAATATAAGTAACAGTGTGCCCTATGATGTAACAGAAGTGACTAACATAGGTAACAGTGTGTCCTATGATGCAACAGAGGTGACTAACACAAGTAAGTGTGCTCTATGATGTCAAAAGATGTAACTAATATAAGTAACAATGTTTGCTACAATATGACTGATTAACTAGAAAGAGAGGTGACTGACACAGGTAACAGTGTGCCCTATGATGTAACTCATATAAGTAACAATGTTTGCTACAATATGACTGATTAACTAGAAAGACAGGTGACTAACACTGGTGCCAATTCTACCCACTTAAGCAATAGTTATTTAGACCTGGGATGTGTAGTTTATGCATAATAAATTAAATTTAACACTGTGAAATATTAAATGTGGCTATATACAAGTAATCACTGTGTACTAATTGTATCACATTTTATAGTGTGTAGTGCGATTATTTTAAGATCCAATGTATTGTTATATTATTAAAATTTTACGATGTAATTAATATATATATATATATATATATATGTGTGTGTGTGTGTATATACAATGACTATACTGAGAATAAATAGTTACAATTATTCATGATGTTACGAAAACACATAGATTCAAAACATCAAATTAAGACAAAAATACAAAACTCTAGAAAGGTAAACATTCAAAAGGTAAACCTTTCACCTTCATCAGTTTGCTCGTGATGAAATAAGATTCACCTTTTGAAAGCCCTCACATCATTGGGTTTTGTATTTTTGTCTTGAGTTACAATTATTAAAATACTTTTATTGTTATATGTGACTGTTTTAGTTTGTGTAAGGTATGTTGAAAGTAACTGTGAAGAATTTTCACTATAATTTTAGGTAAGAGATGACAATCTGAAAGTTGGCAAGAATGTACGTGGTATTATACAGATATTTACAATAGCAATGCAGGAGTATTTTTTAGAAAAAGTAAATTAAAAATCAGTAACAAACCAACTTCTGACAGTAAAAAATATAAATAAAAACTCAATGATTTAACCATAGCTTACCATATGATGTTGTCCGTACAGTAGCATTAGCGCTTGGAGAAACTGTTTTTGTTCTATTGGCAGTAGGCTTATATCGACCAAAAACTCCTTTCGTGAATCCTTTATCCAGTTCTTGTTGACTGCAGTTTGATAAAAACCACCCTTTATCACACTGACAGGTATTCATATTGGTGCAAATCTGCCAACATCGAACAGTCTTATAAGAAATATTTCTCCAGACATTTCATAATTTTTTTTAAATCCAGAAACTAAGAAAATAACAATATTTCATAACTAATCAGTAGAACGACTACTACCCTTGAGAACTTAAAGCAAATGTCAGAACAAAAAAAACATTTTAATCATTATCATCTTCCAATCAAAATGGCCTAAACCTCGTGGAGCGTGCAGAAACCACATATTTCACTCTCCAATAATGTATACTTCATATTTACACAAAATCTTTAAATTTTCTAGTATACAAAATCAGAATATGTTCAATTTGGTTTAGATGATGCATTAATTCAACCCTATATGTTACTTTTTGTGGAAGGATTTAGTTAAGAAGGCTATCTACTGATTATTGTGAGCTATTTTGTATTCTATGTTAATTCGCAAATGTGGGACTGCTTCAAAATTTTCACATGGAACAAAGATGCCTCTGAGGAATCAAGACATTTTTTCTACCAGTAATCTTTCAGCTGCTGATTGTGTGCATTCGTACCTCTTTGTTCAATCACACCAATTATCTCAAATTCAGAAAAAGATCTAGTTTATATACTTTTCTTTCATTCAAATACACTTCTTATTCCCAACTAACTTTAACCACCTTCAAGAACAACAATTCACCTGCACTGGTCCGTTGCTGCTGCCTCAACCATCCTTCTGTTTATTAATAGTGATTGCTTAGCTTACACATTATTCTAGTAGACAATTCCTAATAACTGTTGGTGTGTTTTTTTTCATTCTCACCAGTTTTGAATATTGTTATTTACCAGAAAGCAATACATTACTTTGTGAACTAAAGACAGTATAGTTTTTTAGGCAACTACACACAGAAAAAGCTTTAGAAAAGTATGTGTGAGTATCAACTTACTCCATGACCAGAACAGATTTTACCCAATTCATTTGTAGGGCAACTTCCTGGTTCAATATACTTGTCCAAGTCAACACATGACTGATTTACACAGATCTGTCAAAGGAAGAGATGAAGTATCAATATCTATCTAAACTCATTAAAAAATGACAACAACACATCATAGACTTAGCAAAACATTAGAACAAAAACACGTACTAAAGTAAATCATGAACTAAATCATACATTAAAGCAAGAGAGCATTGTGAATTCATTTGTAATTAAAACTTACATATCCTGAACTAAACTACACATTAAATTCTGAAAATAATAAAAAGAAACAAAACAACTGTATTGTTTTCTGTTTACAAAGTTAATCATTATGCATAAAATATCCATGCTTATTAATCTTCACCAGAATTAGAAACTGACAAATGTTTTGTTTTATCCTGAACATTATGCACAAAACAGGTTTGCAAAATTTCATATTTCATTTCATATGAGCTTCTGTCTGCTCAAATAACCAAACCTGAAAAGTAATGTATTCTACCATATCTGACAAGCTACAAAGTTGAAAAACAAAAAGTTTTTATACATCTTTAGTAATTAAAATATCGCTCCTAAAATGTTAAATGACAAAATTGTTTTTCTTCCTTTTCATTATTATATAAAACCACAAAAAATACTTGATTTTATTCTTACTTGCTAAGCCTAATTTTAGATTTTTTATTTAAAACTTGTGAAAAACTTAATCTGCAATAAACTTAGATAGACTAAAATAATACAACAACAAATCATAAAACTTTGTCATTTTGCTGATTCCTTTTACTTTTCCTGATTATGAAAACTTTTTACACAGATTAAACTGTACATATTTTACAGGAGTATAGTATGAATAGTATAGAGTGCAAGTGTACTAGGAACTTTCAAAAGTGTGTACTGTACACTGTATATGTTTTCTGTTAGCAAGTAATTTGACACTTGTGGGTTTCAATATTTAACTTTTGTCTCTAACTATTTTACAAACAAAATGTAATAACAAATCTTATGAAAAAACTCTTATTACAAAATTTTAGATAAGAGTATCTAGATCTTAATTCACAAACCAGATGTTCATATATTATCAGTTTTATTTGCTGCTTTTCACCTACAAAAGTGGTGGCTTGATTAATAAAAATACTTAATGGTTTGACAGAATGTTAGTATGATCAAATCTAGGAGAAAATCCTTGTGTGTGTGTGTTACACCATTTTACTGAGTAAGTTTTATCAGTAGTTTTTACATTGTATCCTGATTTTAATTCAAAAACAAGTGTTTCCCAGTACCTACTGCAATCAATTCACTTTGATGTATTTACAATAATAGTCACATGTTTAAACCAAAGTAATCATTCTTTTTATATCTAATTCTCTTCAAAAGAAGGCTAAAATCTAACAGGTCATAAATTTGTTTCAGTTTAATTTTTGCTAATTAATTTTTCTTGCATTTACTGTAGTGTTTATTTGTTGCATTCCAATCTTTTCAAGGTTATTTATACCTAAATGCAACCAGTTACTTAATATGTATTCTAAAATAACTTACTTTTTAAAGCTGTAATAAATACTGAGCTAAAGTGCCTTATTAAACTAATGAATACTGAACTATTTTAACAAAGCAAAAGCACATTACAAATAAAGCTAATACTACATAAAACATGTACCAAAATAAAATCATTAATTTAAAAAGCAATATATACCTAAAATGGTTTATTAAATGAGCAATCCACTCCACTAAAATATCTTACCAACATAATAACATATAATTAATCTAATGATTTTTTAAATAAATCGTACATTCTACAATAATATAATTATTGATGGAATAAACACAAACACAGTCCAACAGATCTTCTATTATACAATGTTATAAGCGAGGAAGATGTTAAAATATGAACATTGCATCTTAATGGTAGACAATGGAATGTTGCATTTCCATTTATAAAAGTATTCTTTATTTAACTTGTTATAAAATACAACGAATTGGACAATCACCAGATAAATTAACACAGATTGATGGATCAGGATTATATTAAACATACCGATAAATAGCACAGCTAAACAACATGGTGTGCATGTAGTTATCAAAACAGAGGGAGG